CCACAGTGTCGATCAGCAGCGCTAAAAAGGATCTGCCCTATGTTGTTGAAGTTTGGTTATTTAATAAATTCATAATAAATAATAATAAAGATAGGCTATACTGTTGAAATATCTGAGATGTGTGGTTTATATAAACTGCAAAGGTAAAGTATAAATTAAAATGATTGTGACCGATGTGAAGGGGGAGGAGAATTGACACGTGCGTCACGTTTAGTCAACATAACAGTTCCGCGTAGGATGCACCTGTGTATCCTCGCTTATGACTCCTCAGGAAGCCTCCTATCTCCTCGATCCTCGACTCCTCACGGTGCAATTAGAGAATTGAGATGTCCTTCAAGATGGCTGAGCTCGATCGGTTTCCGGGTCATAGGAGGGAGGACGGAGGAGCGAGGAGACGAGGAGGGATATTGAGAAGCACCCCAGGTCAGTCCCTACTGGTAGAGCTCTTGAGCGTGATTATGCCACCTGTGACCTGTCAGAACAAACAATCAGCTAGTTAGCCCCACCCCCAACTCACGCCATTGGTCAAGTCAGCATTGTTATATAGGCTTAAACTGGTCGCTCCAAACGAATAGAAAAATAATCTTTGAATACCTTAGTTATCTTTGAGCGAAGAGAAAGTTTTTAAACACCAAAAAGGTAGCCTACTTTTTTTAAAAAAACTAAAACATTTTTTTTTCTTCAAAGATTTAAAGGGTTAACCCAAAATGAAATTTCTGTGATCATTTACACCCCCTTAAGTTGTTCCAAACCTGTATGAGTTTCTTTTCCTCTGTTGAACACAAAATAAGATATTTTGAAGAATGTTGGTTACCAGACAGTTGGCGGTGGCAATTGACTTGTATAGTATTTCTTTTTCTCCTATAGAAGTCAATGGCTACATCAACTGTTGCCCAACATTCATCAAAACAACTTATTTTTTTGTTCAACAGAAGAAATAATCGCATAAGCTTTGGAACAACTTGACAGAATGATGGCAGAATTTGATTTATCCCTTTAAGGGCCGAGATTTTTAAAGTTGACTACAAAGATAACTATTTTAGGGTCCATACTTACGATATCATTCTGTGCAATGCAGTTATTTTATCTGTCGCTTTAAACGATTCTCATAGTGGATTCTGATTGGCTGTCAATTTGTGTGACTCAATCAGCGCCCTAGTTCAGTAGTCAGGGCACAGATCAAGAATCAGATCAAGTCAGCCATTTTAAGTGATGTCCCAATCTTAATTCACAAAATCCTTCCTCACTAAAAAGACCCACAATGCACAGTGAATACCAGGGATCATTGATGTTCTATGGCCACATCTGAAATCGCATTCTTCCCTACTATATGGTAAGCGAAAAACAGCATGTCACAAAAGATGTATTGTCTAAATTCACGGCACAATGTATCGTCCTTGGTGTGAACGGGACCCACTCAAAAATGTAAAATTCTGTCATCAGTTACTCACCCAAGTTGTTGCAACCCTGTATGAGTTTCTTTCTTCTGCTGAACACAAAGGAAGATATTTAAGGAACGGCTGGAACTTTGGCACCATTGACTTCCATAGTATTTTTTTTTTCTACTATGGAAGTCAAAGGTGCCAAAAAAACTGTTTAGTTTCAATCGTTCTTCAAAATATCTTTGTGTTCAGCAGAAGAAAGAAACTCATGCAGGTTTGCAACAACTTGAGGGTGAGTAAATGACAGAATTTTCATTTTTGGGTGGAGTATCCCTTTAAGTGATTCCAACATCATTCTTCATTAGCCTTGTTAGCTGCACATATGACATCAACGGTCCAGCAGATGGCCCTATTTTACAAAATGGCAAACATCAACAGCGTCTGGGTCTACAGGACAGGTATTTCATTAGCAGGTTATGAATAATGATGCCTCAGAAGTGTCATGTTACTACATATTTAGAAGCACAGAGAGCTGTTATACACAATGTCCTCTCAGTTTTTGATGCATTTAGTGTTTTAACAAGCTGTTGAATTCTTAAGTGTTTTACTGCTACAATAATAATAACCTTATAACCTAATAATAACTAATAACCTTGCATTAGATGGCAAGCAAGCAGATTTTTGAAAGTTAGCTATTATGTAAGGGAGTTAGCTAAACTTTAAACACCACTAGCATATTCAAAGTTTGATTTCAATGGGGGAAAAAATAGGATTTCCTGTTGCTTTCAAAAATGTTTTATTGTGTATTATGGAAGTTTAAAAGGAAATATTCTCTTAAAACATGAGATAAGTACGGGAAGGGAAAGGAAAACATTCAAAAAGGGAAATAATGGAAAGAATCTAAACAAAACGGAACAAAAGATACTAAACAAAAAGAAAAAGATAGGATTGGAAAGGTACACAAAAGGAACAAGTTAAGTACACAAGATTAAGATATTTGGGGAGTTTTTATTTAAAGTAGCCTAGGCTATGGTCGAGAAATGACGCATCATTTTACAGGCTAAAATGAAAACGAGGATTAATTGGATCTCACAACCAGAAGCATCAATCCGTGACTGTAGTCAGACAGTGAATTTATAATTGACCAGACCTGGCTGATGATTATACTGGAGGATTACAGACGCTCACTCTCATGTCTAGAGGCCAAAAGGAGCGCAACTGTTTGTGACTAATTGTGTTTGTTCATAGATCAGGACAGCCATCTGTATTACAAACACCCCCTGCCGTGGATGTGTGTGTGGTGGACAAAGGTGGGCTGTTCCTGTGTCAGATTCTATTGCAATGTCTGGATGTGCGAAGAAAAGCTCCCCTCAATCCACGCACATGTTTGTATCTTCATTCAGACCCGATTTTATGGTTCCTTCATGGGTGCAAGGCATGAAATTGAGAGAGATATTCCATTAAAAGCACCATATTCAGTTCTCCCGCCCACAACATTTCCTTTTAAGGAGGCTTGCTGTCACTTACTTTAAATTAAATACGCCACGATGATGGAAACAGACTGAAAAGGCACATTTTATTAGTTTAGGCTATTATTTGTAATACATCATGAACTGACATTTCATCCTCATTGTTTAAAGGAGGAACTGAACGATTTCTTTTTGATCACCTAAATATTACACTCTAAAAAATGCTGGGTTGTTTCAACCCAAATTTGGGTCAATTGTGGACAAACATTTGGGGTTGTAACAACACAGCATTTTTTAGAGTGTAATATTTAGGTGGTCAAAAATAAATCACCTAGTTGCTCCTTTAAACAATGAGAGTCTTCATGTGAAACGCTGTGGTGAGAATTGCCAAGGGCGTTCTTTCCTTTGCTTAGTTGTCTTAGAATGAGAAAAGAGAAAGGTTTGAGTAAATTGGATCTGACTGTTAGCGACACTGACAGTCACCACACTTCTGGATGCTTCATCTATCTAATGTCTATATATGCACTGGCCATCTGGAAAGTATTGATGATTATTTTTCAGGTTTATTATTTTTAAGTGTTTTTACATTTAAAATAATACTAGTTTATTTCGTGTTATATTACAATTTAGTTATAATTATACTCATTCCTTTTTATATTTTAGTTTTAAAGTGTCAGCATCAAAACATACCTTAGACACCTGGGAAGTATGTGTCAATTAGACAACAACATCCATTTCCTGCAGTGATGAGTGGAGCCAATCAGCAGCCAGCTTGATAAATCAGAGATGCTACAGCTGCCAGAATTCATATATAGACACTGATTAAAGGTGCAGTGTGTAGATTTTAGTGACATCTATCGGTTCGGTTGCGAGTTTGCACTAATGCCCACTGCTCACCCCTCCCTTTCGAAGAAGCTACGGTGGACAAACATATCTGAGACAGCAGAGAATAGCCAGAGGAAGCCAAGAGTGTGTAACATTGTCACTGCTTCTGTACCACAGTCCATTATAAACCACATCATGGATAAAGTTTACAAAGCCATAGTCAGGAGAAGATCAAGGTTTTTAATATATAATTTAATATAATAATAGTAATCAGCTGATTGTCTTACGAACGTAACCAGCACATTTCCCCCCACATAGCAAACCCATAATACAGCGAGGGAGAAGGACCACATGAAACTATATGCAACAATATGTTTTTTTCTAACGGGATAGTAAAAGTTTACCTGGCCAAATATGAGCTGTTACTGTGGCTGAGCTGGTTAAAGCGTAAAGCCTTGTTCAAACTCGAGTCCTCATGAGCCCAAAGGTGTGCACGGCAACAAAGATTGCAACAG